ATTCTATGATTCTATGATCTAGTCTTTCCATTAGCACCCATCCCATAAAGCAGTTAATTGAGTAGTGGTTACCTTGCCGTTCGCCCTTATGCTGGAAAGGTTGACATTCGGCAGCCTTAAAGATTTGAATGTTTTAAATACCTTGGCCTGTTTTGTGTCTCTTTCTTGCTACAGCATAATAATTAAGATGAACAAGAGTCTATGTGATCCTGAATGATATGGCTGAAACAACTTCTCGTTACCAAATATCTAGAGTCAGCCCACGAAATATGTGTTTGTGATCCCAAACCATGGCCTGTGTACTTCTGGGGATGTGCAGCCATTTCAAATTTCTAAACAACTTGGTCAGGAGATGAGAATTGACAATTGACTGACAGTTGTGGGGTTCTTTGCCTCGTTTTTACCTGTGGACCCGGTCTTAAATTATTTCCTTGAGGCCTGTAGACTCCTCGTGAACAAGAAAACGATGCACAGTTAATAGGTTTCTTAACATAGTTAATAGTTTTTTTTAACATATATTCATATTTAAAGCACCTATTCTATCTTGACTGGGTCTGTAAGTTTATGTGTTTCTGGGTTCATATAATAAAACTTTTGTAACAAGTACCCTTAACGGATCATACTTTATTTTCCTGTCTAAAACAGAACTTTCACCTTGAATTCCTTTGTAGTTAATATTTCAATATCATGTCCCATAATCTACCTTATTTGAGATACTACATTTGAATAACGTGCCTGGTTTCTTTTAGGTACTCAACAACAGCTTATGGCACAACATGCTTTGGAGAAAGAGGCTTTGGAGAAGATTAAAATAGAAATCGAGGAGGAGCTAAAACGTCTTGATGAAGAAATCTTGGAAGGTGCTCTTCAGATTTTCCCATTTCAATCGATAATCTCTGTGCCCTATAATGGTGGTTAATTTGTAACAGGTATTCCAGTTAAAGAGGTTTTTGGACCCATTGAATCACTTTACCCTCCTCCTTCCCCCACAGATTTCTACTCTGTCACATTTAGTAAAATAGTTAACCGTTACCGTTTGGAGCGGTGGAGTCCAGCCAAAGCAAACTATTGAATGACATTTAATAGGCTACTATAAATAATGAGATGTAAATAGCCCGTAAGCTGCTGCAGTTGATGACAGAAGCGAAATCATTCCTCAGCAGCTAACATCCAGGGGATTCTGGACTTAAACAGTCTGATTTCTCACTTCCACCAGGTTTATTTTTTCTGACATGCTTTGACCTAGAGATGTGGCTTTTATAGGACTCCCAGCAAGGGATGACTTGGAAACAACCTTTGCTTTGCATGTGTGTTGCAGATTGGAAATCTGAAGCAGAAAGGCTCCAGATCTGTTTACGTTCATCCCTATAGACCTTTCTTAGAAGATTTAACCCGAGAAGGAAAAGGTTATATGAACAAAATAGTATTTTAGAAAATGCTACTCAGTACTGCTGTGGGTTTGTCCATGTGTGGGCATATTTTATCATAGAAAAGAGGCTCTCTTGCTGCTCCATCAGGGTCGGCGTCAGCTTAAAATTGAGAATAGTTGCTCATTCAGCTAACTTGCTAACTAGGATGCAGTTGTGAAATAAGAGCTGGAGGGGAAATGTAGCTCGAAAACATCTATGGCGTGTAAGTACCATTTCCTGAATGTATTTAGACCATAAATGTAGAATGTATTTAGAATTGGCTTACTACAATTTGTTCATAGCACACTTTGGCTATAGAGTTGTTATTTCTTCATCCCTTATGTCAGCTGTGTTATCTGGTGGGATAAGAAGTCTGAGACTGTTGAAGTTCTTACACAAATCTGTTTTATTTTGTATACTTCTTTCCTCTCAGCGTTTACCACTACAGGATTTGACTGCCACACTTCCCCCGTGTTCAGTCCTGCCAATCCAGAGAGCTCAATAGAAGACTGCCTGGCTCACTTGGGGGAGAAGGTGTCCCAGGAGTTGAAAGAACATCTGCACAAAGCCCTGCAGAGCTTGCTTAGCAAGTGAGTTTCCATTTGCTTTTTCAAAGGGAAGGTGTTTCCTTTTGCATTGTAGCTGCTGCTGAAATGCTAAAGATGGGAACACGTTTTGTATTGCATTTCCTTCTTTTTCAGTGTCTTTTATCTGGCTGGTGTGTTTTTTGGTCTGTGTTGTAATGAGCGAATACTACTTTGTGGTATTTGCTCTTTGCATTCATGTAAGTTCTAAATTTTTTTTTTAAGCTTTTACCATCGAACTTGTGAGATGAATTCAAGTAGTTTGGGTTGCTGGTGAAACCAGCAGCTGCGAGTTGCCGTTGCCAGTTTCATGCATGCTGGGCTGCAGCCAGATTAACTTCTTTTGCCTCACAGTTCAGAGTAGAACTGAAGGTTTGTTCGTAGTCTGGCTCAAGGTGAGTGGGAGAGTTTCTCGGAAAGGATGGTAGTTAGATGCTTGATGACCACCATTCGGACACACATATGAAGCAAATGTGGGCCCCTGGGCTAATCTTGGTGCCTTAAGAGCTGTCTTGCCAGTTCAAACCTACTGTTTAAATAGCAGATTGTACTTGACAAGCTAGCATCTTGATTAATGTCTTCTGCAAATTGGTAAATTTGTTGTGGTTGCTTGTTTTTCTATTATAAATTACCAGCCTGATTTTAATGGATCCACATGAACTACTTCTAGCTGTTCTGAGTGACCTCCAAAATCTATTTGTGGAGAACTGGAGTTGGAAGGTGCTGCTTTAGGGACAGTTACATAAATGCAGTTGTGAAGGCAGCAAATAGCTCTCTGAGCCTGTGTTTTGTGGACTGGTTTGAGTAACGTGGCTCCAAAGAAGCTGCAGCTCACCAGTACCACTCTTGCAGAGTCTGTGTAGCTGTTCACGAACTGTTGGAACAACAAGGTACTGGCAGCCCAGCTATCAGCACCTAGTGTAAACTTCTGTGAGGCACGGGGCTTAAGCCCTCCATACATGTGCTGGAGAGGCATCTCGTGAAAGGTAATACCCTCTGTGACAGACTCCTGGAAGACGACGAATTTGCAAGTCGTTTCATCTGCACATCAAAAAACACCTTTTTGCTGTGAGGGTGACTGAGCACTGGCACAGGTTGCCCAGAGGGGTTGTGGAGTCTCCGTCCTTGGAGATGCTGTCTGGGCACGGTCCTGGGAAGCCCGCTGCAGGAGATCCTGCTTGAACAGGGAGGTTGGACAGGATGTTCTCCAGTGGTGCCTTCCAACCTCAGCCGTTCTGTGATTCCTTAACTAGCCCATCTGTTCCTTAACTTAGCAACCTAGTCAACAACTAAGGATTGACTTTTTATGACCAATATAATTTAAAACCGACTGTTCAAAGTCAGGCAGGACAGAGCCTTGGGCAACCTGATGTAGTGAAAGATGTCCATGATCTTTAAAGGTCCCTTCTAACCCAAACCATCCTATGGTTCTATGACTCTGACCTGGTTTTCCTAGCACAGGTGCCATGTAGCATCTGACCAGGCAGATGAAGATGGCTATCACTTTTTCCTTGAGTCATCCAAGGGAAAAGTACACTCTGCCAACTCACCATTTAAGTTTCAGAAACTAATATATATACTGGCTGCTTCTATAAGCAGTTTTTATAGGGTCAAAAAGTAAGTTCGGTATTGTGTAAGTAACAGTTATTTACCCACAGAAAAGAGTCATGTGGGGCATGAGCTTCTCCTGAAGTGACAGAAGATAGGCTAGTGTGTTCCTTTAGAAATGGCAGAAGCTTATCTGTGTTTGCAAGCCAGGCGTTTGGCCCATGTGTCCTTAAAAACTTACACTGAGTTATCTTCTGAAGAACTGAGGTTTTGATAAATACCTCAGTACACACTAAAAACCAGACTGGCAGCAAGTTTTAAAATTAGCAGTAAGCCTTGCAACCCATCCTTTTTGTGAGTCTAAAATGGGAAGTTAAAATAACAGCATTTTAAGTTTAAATGCCTTAAAGGTGGTAGATAATTGGCTGACTGACTTTGAAGGGTCGTAACGTTCATTCTGGGTTTGATTCTTTTTGGAGAGTTCCTGAGATGCGATCTTTGAAAATTAAGTGGTTCTAGCTTTTAATAACCTGACATTCCAGGCTTCTTGTGTGTAATAGGGGAAAATATTTGCATTCTAAGTATTAAATTTATTTATATGCGCACATACACATACAAGTCTGAAATGCCTGTGAAAACGTGTTGACATGCATGCCTTTTTATAAGGCAAACTAGAGCTGTTTAATCTCTTGATAATATCCTTCCTGCAGCTGTTGTTGCTCTCCTCATCCCACTGATTCATCTGGATTTGCGTTTTAAAGGGAACTAATGTACCAAGGAATTTAAGAGAACGCACTTAAAATGACAAACACAAATTCTGTTTTCCCCAGTGTGCCTTAACTCTGTCCTTTTACTCGTGTTTGCCACAGCAGTGCTATTTGATGCAATGCTTACTTATTTTCCTTAGGTTTCCTGTCCTCTGATATGAGCAAATGTGTTAGGGTACAGTAGGCTGTCAGGTCATGACAGGTTCTTGGAGTTCAATAAGCAGTCTCTGTCCCATACCAGTTACTGCTATTTCCCTTCAACCAAAGCCTGAACTTGCCTTTTGTCATGATGTGGCTCAGGGCAACTACTTTTGCAGTAGTACTTCTGCTGCTGCCTCTTGGCAGAAAGTCTTCATTGTCACTGACTCCAAGAGGCTACGTGTTCTTGGAGGGAAGAGTAAAGAAGAGGGGAATTTCATCATCCCAGTTCAGAGAAGTGGAGATGCAGTGAATCCAAAATAGAGGTATCTACTGAAATACAAACAGGTTTGCATGATCAAAAGTGCTGTTTCTTGCAAGTAAAGCCTTCAACTGCAACATAATGCAGTCAACCAGCCTCTGTTGGTTCGCAGCCTGTATTGTTTATAAAAATTTTACTCTGCGTTGGCCTCTATCTCACATGTGAATTTCTTAGTGGAATTTTTTTCTTTAAAGTCTTAGATTATAAAAAATTATATGCAAGACCATAGAAATTTTGGTAGCATATCAGGGAGCCTACTTATCTAAAGTCCTTTACATTATAGACTATAAAAATATTATAAAATTCACCTAATTGGTTATATGAAAGTGTGTAACTGGGAGAAGGTAATGCCTTCCTGATCCTCTGTGGTGCTGCTGTTTCATGCCCTGAAATGTGAGAGGTTTTTAGCTCTTAAAAATTATTTGCTGCAATACCTGTGAAAATAATTCATTCTCTGGAAACTGAGAATTTTATTTTATTCTTGTTCTTTTGTTTCCTTTTATAACTTTCAGTGTTGGTTTAACTTCTGCAGGCCGGTGACGTACCAAGAATATCGAGAGCGCACGCAGGAGGCAGCCGCTCATGCCAGCGGATGGAACAAGGTACCAAATAAGTGACTTTCCCTTTGATAGCTCTCCCATCTATTTGATGTCCCCAGGGTTTTTTACAAGGTACAGTCACGCTTCAGAGAGGAACAAGAATAAAAAGAATCATAAGCAAAATAAAAACAAATATATAAAAATATAGAATGAAAAGAAATAAGTATTTCTTTTCAATATGAAACAGTTTTTACCCCAGAAAGGTGGATGTGGACATAATATGAAGTTTTTAGATAATTTAGACAGAAATTATCTAATGGAAGTCTTAGATCAATCTGCCTTTATTATAGTAAATAGAAAAGTTGGAGTTGTTGCTTGATACATTTTTTTTTTTTCCAATAATCACTAAACTTTTTCAAATTTGCAAGACAGATTTACTGTTTTAGCAGTTTGGTAATGAAATCTGACACAGATGTATTCATAGTATTTCTCTATTGATTCTTTGCCCCCATCTCAGGCTCAACATAAACAGTGCTAGGCATGGTGAAAATAAAAATTCGTAGTGTCTTCACAGTAGTTAAATTGTGCAGAAGACGTAAGGATGGTGTGCCTGCCTGGGTTCAGGAGTATTTATCTCAAACGATATGAAACATCTTTTAAAAACAAAATGGAAATCTGTAAGTGAAGTCTCTTAAAATAGTTTTAATGTAGAATGAGGAGAATTACTGTTTCCAGATTCATTTTTCACTAATCATTCAAATTCTTCATTTTAATCATTCTCTGCTCGGTTCAGTGGGCATCAGACAACGAATGAAATAATTAAATAACTATTTACAATTTTAATCACAATTGGAGTGTTAAAATTTAGTCTTAAATTTAAAATGGAACAAACCCATCTTTTTTCCCTCTTTACATTTTTTTTTCCCCCCGAAATGCTTTTCTTCAACTAGATTTCCCTGCTTACTTCAGAAACTGATCATTTAACCAAGGGTGTGGGCACTTCTAAAGCAGTTTATTAAACATTGCCTGACAAGTTACTGCCCATGGCCCTAGCAATTATAATGGGTGTGCCCGCGCTTTCAGTTTATCTTCTTGTGATTCAGGGCATTTTAGTCCAAACAGCCATGAAATCTGATTATCAGGAAGGTGGCTTAAGCTAGCAGGCTCTACTTTTCAGTTGGTGGAAGCTAAAAACAAGCATAAACCCAGTCACTGTGGCTTAGCTGGCACGGGAGAGGTGGATGGGGCCTGTCAGTTCCCTCCTGTGTCTCCATATGCTATTGGTACGCACCTCTGGAACATACTGGAACATATCCATGGATGGATAAGCCACGTCTGGGGTTCTGTGGTTCAGCCTCCGTCGCTGCTACGTTTGTGCAGCCCCTGTGGCTTGTGGGTTTTGGTCCCCGTCAGCTTGTGATTGAGGATGTCCCCCAGAAGATGTCATTGTCATCGTCCCTGCTTACCTGTGATATTTGTTGCTCAGAACTTACAGTCCACAAGCAACCCAGAGTGGAAATTTTGTAGACTAGTACAGCATCTGTTTGATTTGTTTTTTTTGGAATGCCTAGCAGTTCCTTTAATAATACTTGTTTTGGGGAAATGAAATACATTTATTTTGTTTTCATTTCCTTTAAAATTCCTTCATCTCTTTAATCAGAATCGTATTTTATAACAGAAGAGATCAAGACATCTTCCCTCCAACCTCAGCATACCTCAATTTTCACTCTGAACAAGCAGCTGTTAGAAAACTCATTTTTTAGGTAGCTATTAATAGACATAGAGTTAGGTCTAATTAGCAGGCAGACAGCAGCAGGATGAGGCTGTGCTGGCCTCAAGTCTGTGAAAATCTGAAGGATGTCTGTTTAAATTGATCATGTCAGGAGAACTGAAGTTTACTCCCTTTTACGACTAAATGAGAAAACCTACAACTAGCTGAGCTAGCTGAACAGAGTAATGAGTCATTCCCCGTTCCATGCTCACGGACCTCACGTAGCCTATAGTTGCCTGCGTGGGGCAGAAATTGAAGATGTGCAGTAGCTGTGGCAGATGCCAAAGGTTTAAAGATGTGGAAGTGCCTTCCCAGAGACAGAATTCAGTGTGATCAAGGCTTGTGGTTTGATCCAGACTAGAAGAAACAAACCAGCTGAAGCCAGCAGGTGAAACGTGTCTTCAGTCACGTGTGAGCTGTACCTGTTGTGCTCAGTAGTGGCATCGTGCACAGCAAGAGGTTCTTTTTGCCTTCGGCAGCCCACGAGTGAGTATGTAAACTCTTGCTTTGGGAACACAGGCTTGATCTGCCTGGTGTACAGTTGGGAAGGTGTCACCTTTTAGTCATAGCAGTTCTCAAAGAACTTATTTGTTATACGAGCATAAACAGAGGGAAGACACTTCCAAAAGAGGTTGCCCAGAGAAGCTGTGGATGCCCCATCCCTGGATGTCTTCAAGCCAGGCTGAATGAGGCTTGGAGCAACCTGGTCTAGTGGAAGGTGTCCCTGCTCATGGCAGGGGGGTTGGAACTGGGTGGTCTGTAAGGTCCTTTCCAACCCAAACCATTCTGTGACTCTATGAAATATAGCTATTTTTTCCATTTAAGAGTGTGAATCTGCTCCGGAATGCAGTGGTGTGTTTGAACTCCTGAAGAGATTGGGTTAACTGACGAGCACACGGGATGTAAAGGACTGGTTTTGGCCACTAAAACAGAATATCAACCTGAATGAGGAAATACTGCAGGGGAAACTTATATGTAGGAACATCAGTTCTTCCATTAACATCCCACAGAGGCAGAGTTTACCCACAGACGTTAGAAGTGCTGGTTCTCAGTGAAAAAAAAGATCTGGGAAAATAAACTATTTCATGTATTTCTCAGAAATTGTGATGTGAAAATAATAGACACGACGTTGGGTTCTGTGAAGAAAAGGAGGGGTCTTCACCTTGTGTTTGAAATAAGGCGCTCGTTAAAACAAAAGCAAAACCACTTCAAACATAGGGTGAATCGTATTTCCATAATAAAACAACTGTAATAAAAAGATACTGTTGAGTCTTTATGCTTTTTGCTCATAATTGGATACTATATACATACTCCAAAATACATAATCTCACTGTTGTGCATCAGCTTACTGCTGTTGAGAGTCAGCCAGCTGGTAAGTAGGTTAGCAGTCATCGTAATGTCTTATTTTTACTGATTAATGAAGTCCAAGGATAATACAAGAAAAAAATGTAAGAAATAATCATGGAAATAATTTGATTAATGTTATGTGGAAATAGCCAAAAGGCACACAGAAGTGACAATTACTTTGGATACAGCTTCTTCAAAGCCTCTGCACTCTCTTTGTAATATTTTTTTGTGTAAAAAAAAATTGAAATTTGTAATACTGTAATATGGGATTGCAGCGGCATAATTGACAGAAATCTTTAATTTGCACAATTAATCGGAAATCTTCTGATAGTAAAGGTTGTTTTTTTTTATGATTCCCTAGAAGTTTTCTCCTGCCAACTATTTTCTGGCATGCTGTGCGTGACACTGTGTGTTTTTCTTCAGTCAGAATATAAATAGCCTCTAGCATTCCTTGCCTGGCATACTGGTGAAGGGAATCGTGGTTGCTTTGAGTTGCTAAGGCTATATTTTTACTTGGGTTTAGTTAAATCTCATTAACGTTCACACAGTTACAGGTACAGAAAACTGTTCTTAACCTTTATGGAAGTACTTGAAGGTAACTTCTTTCAGGAATTTAGGGACAGTGTCATGCAAACCTGTTCCTGTTCCTGCTGGTCGGCAAGGTAGAGGTGTCCACAGTGTCAGCGGGGAAGGAAGAACAGGCGGTGGTGGTTGGTCTGCATGGGACTGGATATTAGAGTTTGACTTTGGTCCCTCGCTCCTGAGGCCTGCAGGGACTCGCTGAATTTGGGAGGAGTGGATGGATTAGATATTTAAGTTGGCAAAGGAGGTTGGCAACAATCATGTTCAGTATGCCAACATCTGAGCTCCCTTCGTTTCCTAAGCAGCCTTTTATTTTTGCCTTTGTTTCTCTTGCCTTCAGCTTAAACGTGAAATAGTTGGAGATCTGTGTTTATGCTGTTGTAGAGTTACATGGGTGTGCCCAAAACTCTGAAAGATGCCTAGTCTTGGCAGCACGCTTTTTTAAATTTGATCCTAAAAGATTGAAGTTTCTTCTGACACTTGCCTCACCTTGACCTGTCCCTTGTGTTGGTGCACTGTAAGCTTGCACCTCCTCGTCCTCGGAGCTGAGACTGATTACAAGAAACTCAAAAAACCCCAAGGCTTTTAAAACTCAAGCACCACCTCATCCCCAGTTAAGTGACAGCAGTGTTAACGGTTTGTCCCAAAAGAGTGGCACTATAACCTCTCTGACATGGTATTGGACTCTCTCAGTTGTTAATCAGCTGGAACGTCTTAAATTTACCAGGTTACAGGCATTTTTAGGCCCCATCTATTTGTAGTGGTCCATCTCAGTGTGATTCCATCATGGATTCAGCACAAATCTCAAACCCAGCTTTTTCCTGTAGATCTTCCTCCAGCTTTGCATCCTAAGGTGTGATTTCTGGGAATTGCAATGGAGAATGTTTACAGAAAAGAAAATCAGGTTGAAGGAGTAGGAGAGGGAAAGGAAGGAGGCATTCGGAGTTCAGCCTGAGCAGTAGTATTGGCCTGCACCTGCCTTGTGCAGCTGGGAAGCAGCGTTCCTGTTTTCACAGTGAATAGATGTGCACTGCGGTTGTCACAACTGTAAACAACCAACTGCAGTTGTAAAACTTTTTAATACTTTTCTCTTGGATCATAATAGCGCTTTTTCAGATGCTAATGCCTTCAATTCATACTGGTTTCCTGAACTTGGCGAAGTGCTGCATATAAACTTTGCCCAGAGGGCTCCTTGTGCGCTCTGAGAATAAATGTAGAGTTTAAAAGTTCAACTGCATGGTTTTTAGGCAAACCAAAACATAATTTCTGAAGGAAGCGTCTAGAACTGTAAAATATGAAGGAGGTGGGTTCAGAGTCCTGCATCTTCCAGAGCAGTTCACATCTGGGCTCTAAGGCTGAGCATTCAGTTAAAGACAAAAGGTTTGGAAGGAGGAATGGGTGTAGGAAATGAGGGAGGGAATTCTGTACGTGTTAAATTTGCATGGGAGGGAGAGTTTAACATGGAGAGGGGTTTATGTTTGTCATTTTAATCTGTCTGTAATGTCATACTGCAGGGAGGGGTTTGTTTCTGTCCTGTCTGAAAGCCAAGTGTGAACTTCCAAAGGGACCATCTAGTGCAGCGTGTCTATTCAAGAATGTATGCGAGTTTGCTGTTTGGATGCATATCCTTTCAAACTGTTTGTGACGTTGCATCTTGCCACTTTTGGGGTAGCAAGGCCTGGACCTGTTCTGCTTCTTTACCTGAACCTTATGTTGGGATAAGATGCACTGCAGTCCCGGTCTGTGAAACTCAGTTAGGCCGTGGTCAGATTAAGTGCTTCTGGCTGAATTGCGCTGCGTTTCTGCCTTGTGTCCTCACAAGCATCAAGTGTATAGTCACTGATGTCTTTGGACATGTTGATTCAGACATTTTCTGTGGACCACGTGAATGCTTCTGTCTTACCTACACAGTAGTATTGATAATGCTTTCTGTATTTATTCACAATTCTTGGGTTTTTTTGAAGGTCTTGGTACCCCTGATTCTGCTACAACAGTTTCTGATGGAGTTAACCAGACGGGGCCAGGAACCACTGAGCGCGCTTGTGAACTTCGGGGTGACATATCTGGAAGACTATTCTGCAGACTATATCATTCAGCAAGGAGGATGGGTAAGAAGGCAATGCTTTACTTCCATACTTTGTTCAGAGCTGAATTTTAAGTGTGATACTAGTCATACTGGGGGTGAGAGCTAAGAGGGGTTGCTGGAAGTAAGCAGATAAGGCAAGGAATGCCCTAGAAAAACTGAAAAAAAAAAAGCAGGTCAGGACCATATGACTGGAAAGGGATCTCCATCTAGTTCACCTCTCTGCCCCAAGGCAGAGCTGACTTTCACCCTTTCATTAAAGGCCATTAAAGCCCATTGGACTCCACCGTTTCCCCAGGCAGTCTGTTCCAGCATGTTTGGTTTGTTGGATTGCCTTTGGAGCTGAACGAGGACCTCATGGCAGATAACTAGCGTTCATACACTGAATGTTAATATGTTGCTATGTGGTGAGCATTTGTTTGTATGTTCTTTCCTGTTAATGTACATACACAATGGCATTTAAAAGCAAACACCCGTAACAAGATACTGTGCCCAAGAGTCTCGTCTTTTTAATATTATCTTCATACTCTGGTGGCTGCTGGGAATGGTGTATGGGTTTGCTTTTCCTCTTACATTCCAGAGGGGTTTTTAGCAGAGAAATAATTGGGGAGCACTTCATACAGAAATGTCAGTAGGTACTAATTTATTTTTATAATGAGTGATAAAGTAGCTAATAGATACTGGATTTTATAGCTATATAGGAACATGGATAGAATGAGCAATCAGGATTTCTTTGTGCTGCATTTCCTTGTGGAAATCTTCAGTTTGTGGTAACCAATGTTCCTGAGTCATGGCATACTGAGGAGGTTTCATTTAAAAATACATCACAGAGGCAGCTCATGGCCGATGAGCTGGGTCTTGAATGTAGAACTGTGCTAAAGGAGGCTGAGCCTTAGATTACTGGGTTTGGGAAGGATGCCAGATTTGAATGGAATTAATCTGGGATTAGTGAAATGGCTTCAGCAAGTTGATTTATTCCAAAAAGAAAAGCTGTTCAGGAAAACCTGATGATTAAAAAGCACTAGTAAAGAAAAATCTCATTCAGACAGCTTCTCGTATTTTGGGACTTTACCTGAAGTTTTGGTCAGAGTAGTTTGTTCCAGAATTTCTGCACCTTCCTATATCCTTTCCCTTCCCAGCAATCGTGGATAATAGTTTTCAAAGCCTTGGGGAGGGATTGTTTGCCTTTAATGGACAGAAACACTGACAGCGTGCAGCCAAATGACCTTAGGTCATTCGATAAATGCACTCACGTTGCAAAGTATTGTCATGGCAGGGAGGGTCCGTCCTTGCAGCTTTAAGACAGATGGTTTCAGTGCTATTTTGTGTTTCTGCCTTTTTTTTTTTTAAGCTTAGGAAAGGCTGCAGTCTGTTGTCTAGCCCCTCTTTGAGGCCTGCTATAAACATCCTTAATGCAGCGCAAAGCCCCTGAGAACAAGCGGCTTTCCAGCGTGGCCCCGGCGGGAGGGGGCTGTGCTTTGTGTCGGTGTGACTGCGTGTATGCGCGGCGCTGGGCAGCCCATGGCCGATGGGCGACGGGCTTGTCTGCCTACAGCCAGCCAGGCAGAAAATCAGACTGGCAGAAGCGGTGCAGCAAACAAGCCAGAGCTATTTTTGAAACAGCAGAAGAGGCGAGGAAAGAGGCAAGGTGATGAAAATCCTTTCCAGCCGAATTAATGTAGCTTCATTAACCCTTTGTGAGTCGCTCTGGGGATGGGCTGGCAGACCCACTGCACTTGGGGCTTTATGTGGGGGAAGGGAATATATGGTTTTATTGTATTACTGTTTTCTTTCTGTAAAGAAAATGTTCATTTTTTGCTGATTGGCATGCTTCTGGGTTTGTTCCGAGTCTGTGGGATGGTGTTCCGGGGGTGGCAGCGCTGGGAGCGGGGTGTGGGGTAAGGGTCGGAGAGCTTGTGTTTGGGGAGAGCCTCCCTGGCAGGCTGTTAGCCATCAGGCAAGTGGTTTACATTTTCCAAGATAAGCATCTGTCACGGGGGCCTTGTGTGCCGGATCAGGTTTTCAGTAATACTTTGCTGGAGCCATAAGGGTAATGAGAGACTGAGGAGTCTCCAGAGAGTTACATTGCTGTGACAGCAAGAGGTTCAGTTTTGTATTGTTCCAGAGTGGTGTGAAGATAGGTCTGTCCTACAGCTGCTAAGAGCTTGCTTAAAGCTGAGAAGATTCCTGTCTGTTTTTTCGTGGATCAGGAGCAGAAGAGAGCTTCACAGGAGTCTGCTTTTGAGGGGCAGACTTGAAAAATTCCACAGTGTCCCTGGCTTTTGTCTCTTCCCTCAGCACCATTTCCTCAGTTTTTGGATTGAAGTCAACCTTTGCCAGGAGGGAAGTGGCCAGGTAAAGGTAAGGGTCAGCCGAGCCCTTCCTATGCCCCGCTGCCGATCTCCGAAGTCAGAATTTTACAGAGCTGTGTCATCCGGTGGGACCGCTTGCTGCGTCATGCTGGGCAGCCACGATGCGGCTGGAAGAGCTCCCAAGGTTCTGTTCTGTGAGCTCGGGAGGCTTGTAGGTCCGGAACTCGTCTGATTGATGATGGTGGGTAGCAGGTAGCTGAAGCAAAATTGCTAGCTCAGGGGAGTAAAGGTTGGGAAACTGAATAGCTAGGCAGTAGATTTCAATAAATTGGTGTGGCACGTGGGAAAATTTGGGATACTAGAGGTGCGAGGTCGCTTTTGGATTTTTCATCCCGGTCCATAGAGATAGGGTCCTGAGATGATGTGTTGAAATGGTGTTCTGCTCCCATTCTCCCTTCAGGCACTAAAATTGGAGTTCAGCTAACTTCCTGGTGGGGTGGGTGGTGGGAGAGCGGCTGGCGTATTTTTACGTGAAAGCGCATCTAGCATTTTGATGCGACGATTCTGGCTGTTACCTGTGCTGTTCCCCTTCCCCTCGCTCTGTTCTGCTGCTTCAGGGAGAGTGTCTTCGGGGTGGGGGTGTCGGGAGTGCCCTGCATGTTGTGTTTGGATGCAGATGTCAGCATGAATGTGAATGAAGACATGAAATGACGAGTCCTGGTAGTATACAGTCTCTCATTCAGATTTGCAGGTAGATGCCATTTGCATTTGGAGCGCTGCAGGAAAGCATGGAAAAAACCTGCTTTCTTCTGGACAGCCTCCCTCTTTCACCGACTGCAGTGACGGTTTGGCCGCAGCCCTTGCACTCACCCAGCTTGATGTTACGTTTTAGTACGATCTCTCTTTTGGAGCAAAACCATGTTTGTTGTTTCAGGTTTTCTAAATAGCCATGTGTGGGGATACACATTTCTTCCTCCTGCCTTTCTGTTTTGAACCCAAATGGTCGTGCTAAGATCTCATTCCCTTGTTGTTGTGATCCATCGCAAACCAATTCCCAGCCTAATTCAGCAGCAGCTTCATTCTTCTCCTTCCAGAAAGCAATGACAGGGCTCGACCAACTGACGTGCAGTGTACATGCTCTCCCCTCCCTCCTCCTCCTCGCCCCTCCCTTCCCTCCTTTCCCTCCTTTCCCCTCCCCTCTTGCTCTGACTTCTCCAGGGCTGAATGCTGCTGCATCAGAAGCAATTCTTGGTCTCCTGGAAAAGTGCACAGTAAGCCCAGTCGATCGGTAAGGATGTTTTTCCTCTTCCTTCCCCCCCGCCTCCTCCCAAAAAAATTATTTCTTTTCAAGCTATCTTCCATGTCTAGATTTCACCTACCTTGACATAGTCTGGGAATGTCTGTAAGAAGGTAAAAAGGGTAAGATTACCTGGAAGCGATCTGCTTTTTCTTTTCTCTCAGATTCACATTCACCTTAGGGGCCCATATGCTCTTCCCCTGTTTGAGAGAGGTGAGATAAGTGCGCACTGTCGGTGTTTATCGGCATTCGGCTGATAACCCCGCTGCCCTCCGTAAGAGGCTGCTGTGTGTATTTGTGACCCGTAGCTGAGATTGTCACTGCCCTCCCGGCGTTCTTGTCTCATGATGTCCGCACCTGGGTTTGAATTTAGCTCGTTATTTGCCCGTGTTGAAGACAGCAAAAGTAAATTTGCTTGAAATACGCCTAATGCTTACAGTTTGTTATTGCAGCCCTGGGAGAGTTGTTTTCTGCTTCCGGTGTTTTGTCTTGGGCTTTTCTCTGCGGTTTTGCCATTTTCTTTGCTGCTGGTAATTGAATATCTGGGTGCTGGAGTCAGTTAACAGTCTGGAGGAGAAAGAAGAGTGGAGAGATACTTGTCATCCTGGGGAAGTGAGGCAGTCTGTGCTACTGGAGATTAGAATCTCCTCCTGCAGCAGTCCGGGTGTCTGCCTTGAGAATGACAGTGCAGAAACAGCGAGACGTGCTCCGCTGGAGGAGAGAGATGTTTAACGTGGTGGAGATGG